CACGGCCCCAGATGATCTGATAATCTCCTCCTACTGCTGTACATCGAGCCCTGGTGCCGTGCTCTGCGCACAGAGCTGCTTGTTTAGTTGTCCCTCACACCTCTTCCCTTTCTGCAGCACTGAAGAGGTCCTGACCTTGCTTTTGCTGCCCTTTCCTCTCTCTAAGCAGAACAGATATTTTCCTGGCTTAGGAGGCAGTGGAAACCCCCACCACTTCTCTGGGATGGATTCATGGCAGTGCGGTTAGTCCCTAAAACCTCCTGCAGGGTCCATTGCCTCAGCTGCCCGAAGGCCTCCAGGGAACTCAGAGCAGATCCACCAGTCCTGACCCAGCAAGGGTGCGGGGACCAGTTTCACTCCATCCGAGGCAGCTCCCAAACCCAGCATGGTCTTAAGGGAGGCGGCTGAACACACCCAGAGAAACCTCTGTGGTCGGCAGCCTCTCGGATCAGCCTCCCCACCTCCATGCTCATGACCAGCCCTCGCTGCCCTGCCCGGCTCTGCCACAAACTGGCAGAGGTTTAGCTCCCATGGCCATGCAGGCGCTCAGAGGTGGCTTTTTGCGGTTATCTCCTTGCCATCCACCCAAGAAAAGACCCGTATTGTCTCCGAGGTGAAAAGAAAGCTGCTGTGTTGTTTGAGCACATTTTTTTTTTTTTAAATCTAGAAAGGGGCTGAGTGGCTTTGAAAGTCTGTTTCTATCCAGCTCCACATGCGGGGGGACTTGGGGGTCCTCAAAAGGTGCAAATTGCAGCTGCACAATTAAATAACAGGGTGTGTCCTGGCCTCCGTGGTCCCCTGGGCAGCACAGCCCTAACGAGGAGACAGTGGCATTACTAATCAGGGCTTTGACCTTTACATGGCTTTTATTTAATACACATTCCACACTTCCCCAAAATCCCATCCAAAACATTGACATTTCCGCTGATAGATTGGGTCAGATTTTGGAGTAGTTGGGGGACTCTATTCACTCTTACAATGGTTAAATTCTTACAGCTAAATGGGCTTATTCAGTTAGTGCAGCAGCTGGTGTGATTTCGAGAAGAAAATAAACATTTCCTTCAAATATTTTGATTGGCAACTGGACAACTGAAATACTCAAGCTCAGATTGCCAGGGTCCAAAAAAGCAAATGGGGGCTGGACGGCGAGTAAGCGAGGCAAACCGTAGTAAATCCTCCGAGGCAGCGCTACCACGCAGATGTGTGTGTGAGATGCGCTGGGCTCTGCCTGCGCTGGAGAAGGGGACAGCGAGACGGGATTTTTAAAGTACGTGGTCGGCTGCGATTTCAAAGGGAGCGTGGGGCCCGAGGGTACAGCTTCACCCGCTCCTATTTCCCTGGCGTTTGCTTAGCGCGTTGTTTGCTCCAGGTTGCCGTTTGATGGCTGGCTAAGTGTGATGGAGGGTTGCTCTGCTGCTGAGTTAGGTGGTTATGGAGGGTATTAATAGCGTTGTTTTATTTGGATCTCGCTGGAGGTGTTTCGGTGTGGATCTCCTCGGATTCAGGGCAGGAGGGGTGATGCCCCTGGGCAGAGCTGCAGGTGTGGGGCTGAGGTGGAGGGGAAGCCCTGAGGCGAGGGCCAAGATGGACAGACAGCCCTGAGGAGAGGGCGCGGGGATGGAGGGACAGCCCTGAGGTGAAGGAGCCGACATGGAGGGGCAGCCCTGAGGTGAGGGCCAAGACGGAGAGGCAGCCCTGAGGCGAGAGTGCTGAGGTGGAGCGGGAGCCCTGAGGCGAGGGAGCCGAGATGAAGGGGCAGCTCAGGGGTGAGGACTGAAATGGAGGAGGTGAAGGAGCTGAGACTGGACGGGCAGCCCTGAGGTGAAGGAGGCAGGACGGAGGGGCAGCCCCGAGGGGATGGCGCGGCCCGGGCCCCGCTCCCCCGCCCGCTCCCGCAGCCCCGAGGCCGGCGCGGC